TCACCTCTCACTAAAGTGCTTAAGGATCCCTGTACTAAAGCCAAAAACTGTAACTATATGTACTAGAAACTTTCTTCCCTGCTAAATCATTTCTGAAATAAAAAAAAGCATACCTTGCAGAACTTTTATGAAAAGATGATAAAGGTTAAATAAACCAATAGGATAGACTACACAAGAGTGTTCAGAGACAGAGTGTAAAAATACAATGATGTCAGACCAGGATTCAAATCCTAGACCACTGATCATGAGCTTCCTGGTCAACAGTAGTACCCTGGATCAATGGCACTTCAGTTATGTACAAAAGAAAATTCAGGAATGGTTACTATGTGTACAAAATTATTAAGAGGAATTCTCTAGTGTTTTACCTGCGAATGGATAGGGATCCTTAAAGTATTTGGTGTGATGTAACAGGTGCCCCACCACCCCTTATAACCATTCCATAACTATCCTCTTTTTTTGACGAAGAACTAGATGAAATTGTACAAATGTATATGTAACAGGTGCCCCCCCACCACCCCTTATAACCATTCCATAATTATTCTCTTTTTTTGATGAAGAACTAGATGAAATTGTCCAAATGTATATGTAACAGGTGCCCCACCACCCCTTATAACCATTCCATAATTATCCTCTTTTTTTGATGAAGAACTAGATGAAATTGTACAAATGTATATGTAACAGGTGCCCCACCACCCCTTGTAACCTGACACCATCCCATAATTATCATATTTTTAGACAAAGCATCCTATCCTTCATCCATTTTGGTTATTTTTTCACAGGCATTTGAAGGTTATGCAATCCCTCTGATTTCCTTGAATTTCTAATGCCAAACAAAAATATTTGGTGTTATTATACCATTAATATTCACTTTGTGTACCTATCCTAAACTTTTTAAGGCAATTTTCATAGAATCACTGTTTAAGTTAAGTCCTATATAAACCACATAGAATTATTTTTAAGAATAAAACTTGTTAGTTACCTACAGGTCTACCCTAAATCTTCCCAATATGTTACAGGAACACATGTTTTTGTCTGGCCTTGGGTGCTTATTAAATCTGTAGGACAAAAATGCATGTATTGCTATTGTTGTTCAAAAGTAACAGGGTTAAGGGAATCAAATAACATCAGTCGATCCAATAAAATAAGCACCATCTAAACTACGTGTAGAAGATTCTCATCTCACCCAAGCAAACTTATTTCACCAATTAAGTTAGGTTCTCAATTTCTACTCTTTAATCAAATCCTACATAGGACATCTAAGGTCCAAGAAAAGTCAATAAAACACCTACATGTAGCTAGTATTGGCTACCCATTTCACTTTCTAGAACACATGGAATCTTAATTATCTTCAGACAAGACAAATGTTCCTTAAATATTTCAGATTAAAAATTAATTTCTTCATCAAAAATATTTCTCAACGAATCTCACTGTATATGGTGTATGTCATTTGTGTTCTCCAGATGGTTTTAGAAATATCCCAAACCACTGCATCATTCAGATTTTGATCAGTTAAAATGTCTTCAGACACATTTTCAACTCTTTATTCATACATTGATTTTTTTTCAAGGGAATACCCCCACCCCACATAGCAAGAGATACAAACATAATGTAAAATTCTATATATATATTTTTACGTGTACCAGTTTTCTAACACTTTTTTTATCTGTTATTTCTATACCAGCCACTTAACTGTGCCACACAAGTTACACTGCTTATTCCTCGAAACGTGGTTACATCATATGTCAAAGGATTTTCAAAAATAATAGGATAGAAGAAACAGAAATTTTCCCCTACCTAATCTGTATGACAAAAAAATGTCAACCTCGACTAGAGGTAAGATATTTGAATATTCTCAAAATTCAGTTTATTCGCTTTTCACAAAATAATGCACATTTAACCATATTTACGATTTTAGTTACACTGCGACAGATGATCAAGTTTCGACATTTTCCAAAGTTTTGGGCAGGAAAGTGAATAATTGGTTCCATTTATAACTAGTACATTGTAATATGATTTATTTATTTTTTAAATTGAGATTCCTTGCAACTTTCTCTTGCTTACTTTGATACAATAATGGGGTTTAGCCAGGTACTTATCAGTGTTTTTGCAAGACATCATGATTCAAGTTTGGGGTAAAATCAAGTGGACATCATGTATTCTGTTACCTTTAGATGGAAAGCCTCTTTTATTTTATGGATCAAAAGACATTTTAGGATGTCTAATATTGGGAAAACCCTGCTTACTTTACTATTTATATAATGAATGAATACATTAATTATAGTACACCTATATATTTCTGTGTATCCAGCAATTCCTTATTAAGTGAAAAACTAGAACGTCCCAATAAGTCACCTTCCCATTGATTAGCATACCGTGTGGTAGTAATAGTCACACTTCAAAAGTCAGCTCCTGTTCACAACACTTCTATATATATATCTTTAGTTGACATGTTTTTTAATAAACAATTAATTCATGTATTCCACAAAGAATCCCAGCCATACCAAATGGCATTTAAAGGCTTCTGTAAACAATGACTGAATAAAGTCTTGTCAACTTGACGAATTGTAAATGAATATAGCATAGCAAAGTCTTGTCAACTTGACAAATTGTAAATGAGGACTGAAATGAAAAATCTAAATGAGTATAAAACAGCAAATTCTTGTTAACTTGACAAATTGTTGAGTTCTATATATGTTAACTTCAGTAAAATGATAAAAACTAAATAACAATGTAAAATGTTGATGTTTGACACCAGAAAATGGTCACTTGTCTAATGTGAATGGGTGTATTGACTACAAGCCAGTGGACACATGCAGTAAATACAACTCTCCTGTACATGGACACCATTTTTACTTATCACAATGACAACATTGACTTTTGTTTACATTATCAAAATCGAACCGCTGTAAATTTTGATATTATCAGATATATATAATCATATAATTTATCAGAGACATCTATATACGATAATGTTATATATGTCTCCGTATATATAAATATATCTAAAATGTATTATGTTCTCATTGTCCAGTAGATAAATGAAAAGTTAAAAATCAGAAACACATTTGTCTGTAAAGCATTAGCGCATTTATTATCAATCTTCAGATGGTGTACACAAAGCTATTCAAAGAGATATAAGTTACGACGTCATTAATAAAAGGTGTGAACTTATGTATATTATACTTTTTATGACGTCACAATAGACATTACACCTTTCATTAATGATTTCATAACTTTATGTGTAACTATGTGTAAAGTGTCTGAAGATTGATAATTGTACATACATGATAATGATTGATTCATTACAAGTTATATTTTGATAAAGGCCCACTGCTGGTGTCATCCAGACACAAGGGTTCATTTTCTAAATTAATTGAAGACAGGAAAATATATGTTAGGGTGAACAAGGAAAAGGAAAGACACTTTCCATGAAAGTCAACTCCCTCGACATTCCCAGGTGGCCTAAACAACCGAGATACATCCTGTTATTATATAAAAATCTTCCTGTAACACTAAGCAAGGAAAAAATGGTAGTCAAACAGCAAACAGGCATTATTAGAATATAATGCATGATTTGTGTGTAATCATTATTTCAAATATAGATATAATTTACAGTCTGTCAATGAAATTGTATTTTAACAGCAGTTTATATAGTTTCCATTCTAGTTTATCTAGAGATATTTTATCTTTGCTAATAGGGTTTACCCCCAAACAATTTTGAAATCATCTCGTAAAGTCGAGAGAGTTCCAAATCTGATCAATATTATAACACCAAGTGTGAAAGCTCTCACATTATATGTATAGTACTAATATTAATCTCCTCTGCCCCATAATATATAAAAAAAATCTCTTATCGCCAGAAAGCTACGTAATATGGGATGTAGCCTGACTCTGGCTATATAGACAGAACAGTAAGATCTCCTCAGGTAGATTTGAATCACCCCCGCCCTCCTCCTCCCCTCCCCTTCAGTGATCAGACAGCATCACAAATTAAAATCTAGAACTGACGGATAGATAAATTACTTATTGAACTCACCGCATATAATTTGAATAGAACAAACAAACAAGAGGCCCATGGGCCTTAACGGTCACCTGAGTCTATAGTATTTATTTTTGTTGTTGAAATATGTACCAAATTAACTTTGTCAGGACCATGAGCTGATCATTCCTAGACCAATTTTAAGTGAGATCGGCCTATTAGAACTTAGTAGCAAAATAGCGGCCATGGCAGCCAAATTGTATTTCTGATTGACCCGAAAAATAACAACACTTTGTCAGGACCATGAGGCGATCATTCCTACCAACTTTCAGTTCAATCGGTCCAGCAGAACTTGACTTTAAGTTTGAAATAGGTTTTCAAAATGGCGGCCGTGGCGGCCATATTGGATTTCTGATCGACCCGAAAAATAACAACACTTTGTCAGGACCATGAGGCGATCATTCCTATCAACTTTCAGTTCAATCGGCCCAGCAGAACTTGACTTTAAGTTTGAAATGTAAAATGTTAACGGACGACGGACGACGGACGACGGACGACGTACGACGGACGACGGACGACGACGGACGAAAACGGATAGCAATAGGTCACTTGAGCTAAAGCTCAGGTGACCTAATTATCCAGTACAGAACAGCAAGGAAAGATGAGGAAGGGTGGCCCAGGGCCAGGGATCCCCGGCTTATTAGAGAGAAGTGTGTGTACGTGTGCGGGGGGGAGGGAAGTTCATGTTTCTCACCTAGCCTATTTACATTTGTCACAACACTAAGTAAAAACGTTTTCTGACAATCGGTGCCAAACTGATTGTACGAAAGGTAATAGGGTTGATGACAGAGAAGAAAACAATACCAAAAGCAAGATAACAGAGGCAGACCACAAGTCAAAACATAGCGTAACACGTGAACCCGGCATGTCACGCTCAGTTGCAGACACATGTACCGTCAGAGTACGGTCGTTTCTGGAAATAAATTATATGGATTAGTCTGTAATAGATTTAGTTTCTTACCCTAGAAGTGTTATCCAGACATCTAGAAAGGTATCTCTCTGTCAGGTGTGGTGAGGAACCGGCAAACGACATAATGCATTACACTAACGTTGGACCGGTGTTTATCTCGCGGGCGATCGTATGGATATTAAGTAGGTTACGAAACCCTACAATCTGATTGGTTACCACCGAACGTTCACAGTGTAAGTCTGCATACGTCAAAATGCATATTGGTTCGAGCAGGGCCATCGCAACGTCTACCAAACACCTTCATCAATAAACAGTTATATATACTGAACTGATTGACCAACTTGTTACGGACATTTAGGCCTGTTGTCACTTACTCTCTGTGTGTAAACTTTAAAATATGCTTGTAAATGTTGTATAAATGTATAAATAGACCATTTTGCACATGGTGACGTCATATTTAATTGTATCCGTGACGTCATCGTTTTAACAGAGAAATCATAGGCTACCTAAGGATGTGACAAATAAATCATGAGCAGATAAAACGGGAGACTATTTCCCCTACAGTGAACTGATACTCGGTAGGGTGTGACAGAGAAACCTCAAACCGATCGAAGGTGATTGCCAGGCTATCCGAGGCTTCATGGGAAATAATTATTCATATGTACTATAGCTTGACATTGATACTATATCACCCTACCACATCCAGCTGGCAGTCATCTGGGCTATTAATGCTATCATGAGACCCGATTTTTGACGTCATCGTTACTATGACGACATAATTTTACGTTCGATAATACGATACCACTGACCCTCCCGATACATATGGCAGTTCTTTTTATTGAACAAGCATATATATATACATCTTCGCTAGCCAAGATAGCGAAGATGATATATATATGATAAATATTGATAAGCGCAATTAAATTCTTTCAGTTTTAAATGAAATAAACAGATTCTAAAACGGGTAATATAAGTATTGGACTGCTATAATGCCAATTGAAAGCAGTGCTCGGAACACCATGGATATTCGCATGTTTGCAATTTGTTTTAATTATCCTAATTAGCAAATCATCCACATGTATGGACTCTCATACGAGAGCTGATTGTGATGTCATATGTTTCATAGTTCCGTGACGTCATAGTATAGTTTCTCAAGTTTGCACGTGCATCTAAGGGGGTCAAAGAGAAATCATAGGAGTGGTCGAAGAGAACGATGAACAGGTAAACTGTAGACATTTTTGTGAATGGTAGAGGAAACGTACACTAGATCTGGTTTGGACTCCAGTATGTCTTTGAACGATATTTGCGTACAACAAAACATGAATGTTACCAATTCTAAATGCGTGTTCGACATACCACGCATTTGTACGAACTTTAGGCCGGTGAGTTTTCATCCTGATTTGCACATGACCTGTCCTGTTGAGAGCTTATTGTGACGTCATATTTTATTGTTCCCGTGACGTGTAGATTTGCTTCTTTTCACGTCATATCTGTCATGCCCTTGGTTGTGACAGTAATCATAAACAGGTAAAACTGGAGATAATTCTGTAAGAGGAAGGAGAAACTTTGATCCTCAGAAACCGTTTCACACCTAGCCGATTTGGGTTGCCGGAGCTATACCGGAGTACAAATTTGACGATTTTTGGGGATCGGTACTAGTACGGCAGCGCAACGGTATTTCATCACTAACGCCGGAACTACATCGGTATTGCTACGGTCGATTTAGATTTTTCAAGTGCTTTCTCGCCGGAGCTCTGCCGATTCTTTGCCATTGTTTTTGTGTATTGCTCTGGTTTAGTCCCGGCGAGGTACATCGGTAGTGTGTGACAGGCCCTTAAGGTATACATAATGAGCCTTGTTTGGTAAACCAAAAAGTGCAGATGGTGTATCACTATATCATACAGACGTCCAGATGGCAGATGGCAGATGGTCATCTGATATAAAAGCCAAACATATAAACTGATATTATATGCTCTAAAAAAGTTTCGTTATGACTTTTTTTGAAATATGCATTTTAGAAACCAGCGTTATCCATGGATCACAAGTTAGAGCCATGTATTTCATATCATTTTAGGCTGTACCTATCATGTTTTATTGATATGTTTAACACATCAATAAGAGTTGTGTGCGTTGTTTCTTGATAACTTGTATATGTTTGAGATTCTTGATTCAATAAAATATAAATCATCATAATAAAAATATTAGAGGATAGGCATTTGTCAAGATGGCTCGTTACTTGAAGAGTTCATCTGAAACAGGTCTTTTGTCTCGATGAACTATTAAAATACATATATCATTAAGAAAAACAGACACATCAGTACATAAGAGACGATATGCACACAGGACACTTATAGTAATACACTATAGCGGAAGAAGAATAACATGAGAGTAGGCCATGGTCGTTTACTTCAAAAATTAGTAATGAGAGTAGGATACAGTCGCTATGCTGTACGGTACGAACAACACTTCAGAAGAGGGGAAATTAGGTAAAGTTAACAAACACTCAGAAAAGATACAATAAGGGCAAAATATGAATTAAGGAGAGACTGATATGGATACATTAATAAGAACAAAAATAAGATCAGGTGATCTGGAAAGGTAAGCGTCACACGCTTCTTCTACGACAGCCATGCAAATATGTGTCATATCCAATAATGATAAAAGTCGACCAAATTCTAGTTCTTTAAGGACACAAATAGTGCGCGATGTGGATAAGTTAAGGCCTATATTTTTATTTAGAACGCTTTCCACATTAACTTCTTTATGTTTACCACAATAAGAATAAATATAAACTTTATTCACGATTATTTTACAATTATGAAACAACTTATTGCAACTTATATTTATCACTCTTGTTGGCTCGGATGTTAGCGTGCTATGGGGCTTATTGTGGGAGGAAACCGGAGTACCCGGAGAAAACCCACTTGGTCGGGCAGGTGAACCGATAACTTTTCACGTCCGGTTCGGGGATTCAAACCCCGACCGCATTGGTGAAAGGCAAGTGTGTTATCCACTGCGCCATCCGACCACCATACAACAAGAGTAAGCTACGACCCCTGTACAATTCTGCATACCGAACATCATCGGACGAAATCAAACGTTATGTTCGTACCACTTTGGTAGATTAGTTTGATCCTTTAATGTACATCAAAAGAATCGCTCGGTAGCGAAGCGGTATAACTGACCGGCTATTAAGTATAATGTCCAAAGTACTATCAGCCTAGCGATTGGTCAGGGTTTTTTTTTACATTAAACCAGTCAAATAGCTTACCGTGATCCTTCGACTTTGCATCGAAATATTCCAGGGGTGCAGAACACATAAGTGAGCGTAACCTCAGCTGGAATTTCCCAGGACAGTAAGTCATAAGAGCACAAGTACTAGCTTCGTCTGCCAATACATCTATAATGAGGTTTATAGGTGGACAAGGGTCGTACATGTGGTGAGAACACGCTACAACCGCTGTATTGTTCTACATAGCACTAAAGGGATTCTTTATTCCATGACCATTTCGTACATTGTTAACGCGTAAGTATACACACGAATAACGCGTTGCCGAATCGACTTGTTGGTTAGACTGGACATCATCTCGTGCAATTTTAACACCTTGCTGTAACGACGTTTTACTGATGAAGTGTCTGATGAAGGTGACAGTATGCACATCTTACGTACTAGTCATTGACACGTCGCATTGAAGCATTTCATTGTCTGTACTATATGAATATGTATACATATACCATATATCAGAGGAGGAATTGATAGATTTGAAACTAGATATGTAAAAAACATTTCTAATCATTGAATAAAATGAAAATGCTGTTTAATCTAGTCTTAAAAAACTGTGTCGACATTTTTCCAGCTGAACGTCTAACTTGATTGTCAGGTGTAATATAGATCCAAATCTAAACCAAACGTTCTGTTAGCCGTAGCACTCTGCAGTACTAGGCTCTCGATATATATCTAGTCGATCTGGCCAACACCATCTTATTTATTATTCAGGGGGAAATATTGCACAACACACTATACAATACATCGCCAAGGTGGCTTCGACCCACTTCTGAAGACTGTAAACAGAACATCTATCAGGCTAAAATTTGAAGATAACCTGTACTTTTAGTCGATTTATTCATCCATTTATTTTGCCGCCTGTCGTCTGTAAAGTCACGTGAGGTGACAATATAGACCGCTATGATTTTTGTACCGGAAAATAATCAGTTATACCCTGAACTGACTTCATAAACTCCAAAAGTACATCTAAATCCCGAAATTACTTTCTTAACATCTTTTCTTTCGTTGTATTGCACTGTTGAAACATATAATATAAACTGTCGGTATCAACTATAGTTTACTTACAAAAACACCAAACAAAAAAATGTTTAGTCAATATGTGGAATCGTACAAAAGGTCATCAGTGTTTTCATTAGAACACAGAAAAAGGATACATTTAACAGAATAGAATATAATATATATTAAAAATTGCAATATTAGGAAATCTCGGGAAATTGATGATGGAGAGGAAAGCGGTTAATTTGAGGATGATGATAAAGGGAGATAATCGAGATCAGTGATGATGATGTGGAGGTTCTTCTTCCGTTTACTCAATAATGCCTCGATTTTCACAGCTGAGACGATCGAAGTTAATTTTTCATAAAATACATAAATAGAACTAATTAATAGAAAGAGCAATACTCTGCTCGCACTAATTGTCGATACTAGAAAGCATAAAAATATCGGATATTTAACAATAATCTCAAAATAAACAGAACGTTTACCAGGATGTTTTTTCGATTAGATTTGAAAATAATTTGTAATGTTAGGCGATGTATTCATCCATGCGTTTTCCCGTCTTTCAAGTCACGCGAGGTGACGATATAGACTGCTAGAACCTGTGTACCGGAACACACAGATATACCCCGAACAAACGTCATAAACACTGATGATATTTATCTATAAACCCCTACGTTACTTTCTAACCACCAATCTTGCATTGTATTGCAGTAGTGTGTCTAACACCCGTGATCTATATACAGTCTATGTGTTTCTATAGAAACGGTCTTATATCAATCGACGTTACACAGTTTATTTCAAAATAACTGTTTACCTAAAACAAAAATACGATATTGTATTTAATTTTGCATAGCACCAAACAATACATACCACAATAAAATGTCA